CTATCTCAGACGTTTATTTTCTGCCTACTTTGTAGTAGAATTGTTTCTACATTATGCATGCTGTATACATGTATTCATGTATAGTCAAAGCTAGATACATACATATATACATGCATATGTATTGAATGGCTTTATGCTAGATTAGGGGTGGACAAAGTCCAGCCCATAGGCTGGATCCAGCCAGCAGTGGACTCCATTTCCCAGCAGCCTCTGCCCACATGGCTGGGGCTAGTCTCCATGGAGACCACAGCTGCACTGCTCTGTGATAGCACAAGGCTGGGGTTAGCACAAGACTGGCCCCAACTCTGCTGGCAGGGCAGGGCAGCGCAAGGGGCTGCTCTGGAGCCCCTAGGATCTTGCAGCTGGGGCAGCTTGGTCAGTGCCAGGGCAGAGCCGCAATCTGCAGCTTGTGCACCCCTGCCCTGGCCCTGGCTATCTAATTTTGACTATACATGAACACATGTGCACAGCATGCATAAGGCAGAAACAATTCTACTACAAAGTAGGCAGAAAATAAACCTCAGTCTTGCTATCACAGCATAGCTGTGGCTGGGGTCTCCATGGAGACCAGCCCCAGCCATGTGGGCAGGGAATTCTGGGAAATGGAGTCCAGCTGCTGGCCAGATCCTCCATTTTGCCCACCCCTATACTAGATAAAAAGGGAGAAATTACCATATTTACTTGGATCCAAGACAAGGTTTTTTTTCTCCCCTCCATTCAACATGGGAAGAGAAAAAGCTTCACCTTGGATTCAAGTAGCAAGTACCAGACGGAGATGCAGCAGAGCTTGTGGCTGGAGCTGGAGTCAGATCCATTGCTTGTCCTAGGCTGGGGCCAGGACTGGAATAATTTCCCCCACTGCTGCTGGGAGTCAGCAGCTGTAGTAGTCCCAGGACCCAGGCCAGGGGTGTGGGTTGGCGATCACATGGCAGCACGAGTGAGGGATCATGTGGTGAAGGTCAGGAATCACGTGGCAGGGTAGGCCAGGTTGGAGCTGCAGTAGTCACTGCTGTGTGCCCAGAGCAGGGGCTGGAGCCACTGTGTGCTCAGTGCCCTGGGCTAGAGATGGAGCTAGAGCTACCACATAGCGTAAGTGGCAGCATGGGGGGCAAGTAACTGGGCAGGATGGGCACCAGTGGGGGTCAAGTGGCAGGGGACAGCAGGCAGCCAAAGAGCAAGAGTTGTGAGGGAGGTGGCAGGCATTGGTGGAAGGGCAAGTAGCAAGGGAGTGGGGGCAAGGGGCAGGAGTGAAAGGGGGAGGTCAGGCCACCTGCCCCATTTCTTATCTATCCTGTCCCCCCGCTATTGCTTACTTTGCTGCAGTGGTGGGGGGGAGGGGTAATTTAACATCACCCTCCAATAATTGGATTCTATACATGGAAAATTATAACAAATTTATAATTTTCTGTGTATAGATTCTAATTATTGGGGGGGTTGTCTTGGATTTGAGCAAATATGGTAGTTTTAAATGGACTTTGACTAGCTAAATATGAAAGCAAAAAAAAGGTGCTGCCAGAAAAAGGGGTTACAAGTGCAGACAGTGAGTCAAGAATAGATACTGAAAGATGATTAAAATCTGATTTGCGTGAAATGATAGCTCAACAAAGCTGAGTTGCTCAAAACACTCTTGTATTCTCCCCCATCCTCGTTTTTGCTAATAAAAAATAAGACAAACTACAAGACTTACTTCCAGTCTTACATACCAGTCTTGATGTCATTCACTTAGTATTTATGGCATACATTGACATTTCACTAATATGCAATATGGGAGTAAAAACAATGTGATGATTTAATTTAGTGTGGTCTTCCAAGTCATCGTTCTACTGATTAACACTTGTTTTGGCTGTTAAATCAATGCTAAAAATAACCAAAAATATGGGGGGGGGCAGGGAACTGGGGGAACTGGCAGTCATTAAAAATGTTCTGTTTATAATAGTATCTGAATATCATGGTGGCAGCTGGCAAGGCTAAGATACTGGTATATAAGATCAGTTGTCTTTTCCATTATACTCCTTTTACTAGGAATATACATGAATGGTGACATTTCATCCTATTTGCATGAGTACCTATGCATCACTTAAAACTACTCAAACCATTTGTTAAAAGCTGAATCCTGACCTCAGAGGTCAGTGGGAGTTTTGCTATTAAATGTGATATAGGTTTGGTTCTAGTAACAGGAGGAGCAGAGTGCCAAAATCTTCACTGCCCTCAGCTTCGGGATGAATTTTGCCCAAAGTGTAGAGTTGTTAGTCATATTGTTACTGTCTGATGTATTACTTTAGCTCAAATGTAAGTTTACTTGAAGGAAAATAGAAAAAGATAGATTTTATTAATACATTCTTATTTGTAACTGATCACAAAGCTGCTTACTTTTTATCAAGGAAACAAAGGTTAAGAATGCAAATTTTTGTGGCACATTCTTTGGTGATCATTTAAACTGTGGAAACATGAAGAGCCAAGTTATTAAACCCTGAAATGTGGGTATTATTACACTTTTACAGATGTTTCAAGACTTCTAATTCTTTGTTATGTTAAAGATGAGGATAGAAACTCTTATCTTAAAAGATTATTTGAGCTGAGAATAGCTGTTAGGAGTGAAGACTAAGGAGTGCAGCTGTCACTATACCATATTAACCCCTATCTATGTTTTAAGAAATCACAGCGCTTAATTGCATTTCCAGTTTCACTTAACACTCCCCTCACAACTGTTACAGCTATATTAGGTTACTCATTAATCCAGTACTGATACTGACAGAAAATACCAGCAATATAGTTGCAATATTGCAGAGGTCTTCTCAGCAAAGTCAAAGACACTCTTACACTCCCCTCTTTAATTCCACTCCCCCCCCCGTACTGTGCAGAATATCTTATACTATTGATGCTTTTCAGATGCTTAAACTTCTATGATTGATCATATGCATGATATTTATTTTATAAGATGTACTTCATACATTCTTAAGGTCTCTTTTGTTTCAACATATACAAATGTTTTATGCTACGTCATGTTTAATTTGTCTAAATATAGAAAATAGTGGTAGATTTATTTTTTAAAGTGAACAGCTGTTCCTACAAATGTAGCTTGATTGAGCTGTGCTGAGATTTATGGAATAGGTACATGTATTACACAGACTGAAAGAAGTGATACAACTGAACACATGTGCCACATTGGTCAAGTTCCATAGTTGCAAGATACAATGGTACAGTTTCCTGATTGAAACTCTAATTGGACTATAATTATGTAGCATAAACAAAGCTTTACATTTTCTACTGCTTACAAACCTATATGGGAGGAGGGGACAGTCCTTGTGGTCAGAAGGAAATATGGGCACAAAACCCCCCACTAAAAACATTGCCAAAACTATCTTTAAAACATATTTAAATATAGTAAAGTAAGCAGTGAAATCTGCCATAAAAATCACCTTCTTGAAAATGTGATTTCACTGTCACAAAGGCATAGGGTTAATACAAAACCTTCCAAATCCAGTTTTTTAACCAAAAAACAAAAAAAACTGGATTCTTTAACTGCTCTAGGTCACATGAATGGAAACTCATAAAATTTCTCATAGAGATACTGTATATGGGGTGTCGGCAAATATTGGATATAAATTAATACTGTACAAGAGAGAAAAGTGATAAATTTGACAACGAAAGGCTAACCCAATTTAAGTATCCAGACAAGGTAATTGTCCCTAAAGATCAAAAAGAAAGAAAGAAGCCTTGACTTCTTAAGATATTGAGAGAAATATCTTGACAAAATCCAGAACTTTAAAATGTAAGGAGCTGAGTATTTTGACTTGCTAGATCTACAATAGGTTTTGGGGTATTTTTTCACCATCTGACTAGTCTCTTTTGATGTAATTTTAAATATGTATGTGATTTTTCTTTACTTTGCTTTTAATTTAAAAAATGGAGGGACAGCTACATCGCTGGGGTTGCCAGACTTCTTGGAATACCCCTAGTCAAGCTTCTAATATTTTGGAAGGAAATGAGATACATGTGAGTGTGCTGGTTTGTAATGCCTACTTCAGTACTAGACAAGCTCAATAATGTGTAAGAGAAAGAAAAGAAGATGGTTTTGTGGCTGAAAGCTGTGAAGGCCAATCTTTTTGGCGGGTGTGCCATCAGTTAGTCCTGGACCCTCCCTGACTACCATGTCCACCTTCCACTGCCTGCCAGATCTGCTGCTCAGCTTTCTGCTGCCTGCCTTGTGTTCCTAGCGCAATCTGAGGCTTGGTTTTCTACTCCCAGGCCTACACTCCCTGCCTGATCTGCTGCTCTGCTTTCTGCTCCCTGCCCTCTTCTTGGCTCTCTGCTGCTTGTCCCCTCCCGGATCTGCAGAGGCTGCCTGTGCCTGGGTTACTGTCCCTGCCACAGGGTAGCTCAAAGCATTGGCCTAGGAGGTGGGACAGCTGTGCTAGAGCCTAGGCTGTTTCCAGCTGGGCCTTCCATTGCCAGGTCTTAAATATGAAATGATCATATTGGAAGCTCAAAATGATTGTTATTTGCTGAACAACTATCATCATATACTGAAAAATTATGCAAATAAGTCTGCAGATAAGTTGTCTTCTTTATTTTCTATTGCTCACTATAATGCGTGAGAACTAGGCCATCGAAGTCGAAGCATTTCTTTATTTCGAGGCAAGCAGTCCTAAGAAAGTGCTGACAGCAAACCCCCAAAGTCACTCAAGACTCTCTGAGGGTGACCTGGATTTTGCAAATGCTGCAACAATGACCTACCTCAAACATTAGCCTACATTTTGAGCACTTCGACTGTTAGTGATCGCACAGAATGTAGATCGACAACAATCGAAGTGATCCAAATGTAGGATGAGGCGGGTCGAAACGATCGCGCACTAGCCAACAGCAGTGCCGAGCTCCACGCTGCCCGGCTCGCGAAGTATTTTGAGCCATCCCGGCGCCCGTAGTCTCCACGGCGCATCTAGAGCAGTGAGCAGGCGCGGGCCGCAGCCAACCAGCGAGCGAGGTAAATAAACAAACCTGGTGAGGCAACGGCGCGCGCTCTAGAGCCCCGCCCCGCCCCCCCCCCCCGGCAGCGTCGCACGGCCAGAGACTTCTGGGGAGCCGTTAAACGGCCGCGCGCGGCGGTAAGTGACGCTGCTAGTGTCGCTTTGGGGCCCCCTGGGGTCGGGCTTGTCCCGGGCGGGGCAGGGCCGGCCCGGCCGCACCGGGGAAGACCTCGGGGGCTGCTGGGCCGGTTCCGCGTCGCTCCTCCCGCTCAGGGCTTCTCCTCCCCTCGCCGCTGCTGCGCTGCCTGGAGGCTGCGGGTGTCGCGGGCTGCGCGTGTGGCAGCGACGGGCCGTGACTGGGGAAACGGGCTCTCTCCTTGGAGCCGCTAAGTCTTCGGGGACAAGGTGCTTTGCGGGCACAGATCTCCTAGTTGGGGGGAGAAGTGGCTGCACCGCAGCGCCTTGTGTGGTGAATGGTGGCGGGCGGGTGTGCGCGCACACGAGGAGACTGGACGGGCACCTGGCTGTGGTCACCAGACCCCAGCTGTCTTTCCTGCCGGGGGGGGCTGGACCCGGTGGTCTTCATAGGTCTCTTCCAGCCCCTAACAACGTATGAGTCTACATGCACGTGGATGTGTCGTAGTGACTGTGTTTCAGAGCTTGGGGGTGTGCAGATATGTGTCATGACTGGCTGCACGTCAGAAAATTGAGTAGTGGTGGGGGGAGACAGTATATCTATGTATGTATACGTAGGGCCCAGATCAAGCTTGACTTCTTGTGGGCTAAGATCAAGTAGGGGTGTCTGAATCTCAAGGTCTCCAGGCTTGGGCCTGCAGGTAGGAGGGTTGCCAATGGATTTGGGAGTATCTGAAATCCTAGGGTGAGAGCCTGGGAGGAGGATGCTGGCTGGTTGCCTTGCCATCTGTGGTGTGTAGAAGGATTGAGTTCTGCCTGCTCAATCAGTGCGGTTTCTGGAATGATCGACTTCTGCTCAGTCGATGTGATTTAGAACTGATTTGGCTGATTTGACCTCGAACATGAAATGTGTTAATACAGAAAAGTATGTATGTATGTCTGTGTGCAGGTATAATGACAGTGGCTGCGCTTCAGAGCATTGGGTGGTGACTGGTGGGAGGAGTGGGATTTGTGTGTGCGTGTGTCTGTCTGTGCTATGGCAGTGGTTGTACTTCAGAGCGTTAGGTGGTATGTATACGCAGGTATCATTTTGGAACCAAGAGTTCTAGTTTTTTTGTATGTCATCTTGTCTCAGATCAGCACAACTACCAAGTACACCTTTGTGTACGTATATATATTTCATATCATGAGGTGCTGACTGGTGTGTGTATGTGTGTGTGTGTAATGACAGTGGTTGTAGTTCAGAGCACTAGGTGGTGTCTGGGGGAGTGTATATGGGGTATACACTAGCCAGAGTGAGATCTCTCCCAAATGTGATTGTGTAACAATTAATAATTTTAAAGACTAACCTGGTTTTCCTCAGATTGGGTTGATGATTAAGTTTGAGGGTATCTCAGAAAAAAGCCTGGTTAAGAGAAGACTTGTTTATCTGTTTTAAAGTGTTACTGTATTCTTGTCAAATAATCTTGAATTTAGAAAATCTCTACCCCATTCTTGTATAAACCCAGCTGTAGCCCAGCTACAACATATACCTCTCTTGCTACCCAGCTGGTTGCATGTAGAGTCTCTTCTGGATTTGTTCCCCCTCTTTAAACCAGTCAAAGATGCTGTTCTTAAATAGGATCAACTGCTCTGCACAAAGCTGTAGTCCTGCAGCTCTGTTCAAGTGGGTCTCTGAGCTTTTCTCTAATGGCTTTTGTATGTCCTTGTGTGAATAGGGATGATCCTGGCTTAGGCAGGAGTTTGGACTGGATCTGCAGTCACCAATCAGTGGATTTCGATCTACCAGTAGATCTTGGAGCCTCTTGCAGTAGAACTTGGGAGTCGACCTGAGGCTGGGGTTGGGGGGCTGAGTACCCGCGTGCATGCATGTGCTTGCCCCAGCCCAGCAGGTCAGTCTGCGGGGTAGGGAAGGGGCAGGGGCTAGATCAAGGTTCCTGCAGTGAGGGACAGTGCCACAGAGGCAGGAGTAAGCTGAGTGGGGCCCCAGCCAGGTGGGACTGGCCTGCTGGGGGGGTGTGTCATCTCCCTCTGCTTCAATCTGCCCCTCCCCACAGATTTACCTGCTGGGGTGGGGGGGGGCGGGCTGGCGCGTGGTAGACCTTGGGTTGCTTTTAAATGCCAAAGGTGATCTAGTTAAAAAGGTTGGAGACTACTGGACTAGATGACCTCTGGAGGTCCCTTCCAGCCCTACTTCTCTGTGATTCTATGAATGCAAGAGACCACCCATTTTTGGAGCATATTGCAGAGTTGTGGCCTAACATTTCGTAAGCCTTTGATCAAACAGTAGAAAAAAATGCAATTTAAAGGAAGCACAAGAATGCTAAAGTAGCAAAGGTGGTCTCTGTAATCTAAAGGACTTTGGAAACAGCTTGTAAAAACACAGATAATGAAATGTGCATTAGGCTTGCCATTATAAAAGGTCAGTGACTGATTTGAAGGTTAGTTCAGAGGTAATTAACCTTGATTCTGTCACACTCTCCTAGGTCAGGGCTGTCAGCTTGTAAGAGAACAGGTCTAAAAAGGCTCATCCTTAAAGTCTGTTTAAAAAAAAAAAAAGAAGAAAAAGAAACCATGGGCTTGATGGAGGCTGGATGTAAGTGTTACTAGACAGAGCACAGCAGCAACAACTTTTGTCTGAGCTCAAGTTCAGCTTGGTACTCTGCGGGGAACTGTCTGTCAGGAATTTATGGTCCACAAGAGCCCCTGTGGCTGGCCCCTGCCGTGTCCTGCTGCTGCATCCCAGCCTTTGCCTACCTGTAATGGCTGCTCACTTGGAAGGTAGGTAAGACCACATGGCACTAGGTGGGACAGGGAGAGGGGCAGTGCAGCTGGGATGGGGCTGGCGGGGGCCGGGTTGGGGTAGGGACAGCAGGGTGCAGTTGGGGTTGTATCAAGATGTAGCAGTGAGTAGGGGCCCCTGGATTGGGGGCATTATTTTGGTAAAATCATTATTGCAGTCAAGCAGGACTTTATTCTGGGTGAGGGCTCAAGCCAGATTTAGAAGTTTGTGTTAAACCCCTAAATTTGAGCCCAGCTCTTATTGATGTCCAGGCCCTGACAGAAGGATTATATTTATATTACCTAAAACGTATGTCAGTACAAACATATGTGAGAGGCAAGGATTTCTTCTAGTGAGATCTTTCTTAGACCAGCTATGTAGCTGAGATAGTCAGACAAGCTTTTGAATGTAAGGCATTCTTCCTAATGTCTTGGGTTTGGAAGTTTATCTAACTTCATCCCAGCTACATAGTTGGTCCAAGAAAAAATATCACCCTAAGAAATCCTTTGGCCTCTCATAATTTTTGGACTATCATGGCTACAACAGCACTCTTACACTACAGTAAAAAAGTATGTCAGTCAAAAAGTATGGTTATCAGTGAAAAGTTTACATATTGTCAATTAATATAACAAACCCAAAACTTGGGTTGGCAGCCCATTATATATCTTAAGTTCTAGAAACAACTACACTGCATGTAGGAACTGCTTTGTCATTGTATTGAAGAATATTTCAGGTGCTTAGAAATGGAAGCTGTCATTAGTAGTTTTTAATTCTGAATTTATTTTTTTTTTAAACCAAAGGGACATTTGCTTGGAGTGGTACAGACAACCCCCCATTCCCCCACACAGTCCTCCCCTCCCCATGTACACTTTGGCTGCCCATAGCCAAACCTAAAGGCACCTGAATTTCAGAGGTAAAGTGATCAGCATTTTGTGATCAAACAGGCCTCATTAGTCCCTCTCAGGTAAAACACTGAAAAGCACCAGCTTCACCTTGGTTGAAATTCTAAATATACAGTTTTTAAATGGCAGTTGCTTTATTTCTATTTGTATTTTTGTTTGCACTAAAAAATAAATGTACAACTTAAAATTTTCAAAGGGAATACATAATGCTGACTTCTGGCATTAAATATTACACATTTATAATAAAAATTATGATTATTTTATTTACCTGACAGTTGGCTAAAGTTTTCTGTTCATCTGCTTTGAAATAATATTAGTTAAGTTTTGTGGTTGAAATAGGTTTCTTGTACCACGTGCTACAGATTTTGCTTACAAAATGGTATTTAAGAGAAGATGTATTCATTTCTACTCCAGAGTAGAAAAGTGATTAGTTTTTGCTTCTTGAACAAATAAATATGATTGTGATGCAATATAATTTCTCAAATTTAGGAACAGCTGTTCTTTTGCTAGCTGTTTTAAACCACACAATCCTACTCTTGTTGAAACACCCTCCCACATGTGCATACAGGGGCCAGGGATTATGCAACAAACATCATATAAACAAGAGCAATAAAGAAGCAAATACTACTTTACTACTTTGAACTTTTAATTGTTCAAAGAGTATCCAATAATGAGCTACTGCTTTTAATGGAAAGTGTGCTTACAATTCTGCTGACCTTACAAATGGATAAAGGGGTCTTATTTTGGGCCTGCCAATAATAACTCCTTGAAACAGATTGCAAATACAGGACTTTCCTGTTAGCTATTGTGTTACTTTTTAAAAGTATGGACGTGTACTACTAATGCCAGGTTGTTTTCATGGCATATGAAGCTGAGTTTTTTAACTATTATGCTATGTTGTATTACCTGCAAGAAGACAGTTAATACAAGAAAATATACAAAGCATTTTAAGTTGATGGTGATTCTGTGTGTGCATATTACCTCTTTTTTGCTACTCTACCTCTCGTTGCATCATGTCTAAAATTAAACTCTTCAGGGCAATGACTTTATCTTTTGTTTTTGGAAAGCACCTGGTATACTTCTGAGAACTGTAAAAGAAAATCTTGGTTTAGAATAGCCTTAATAAACTAGTGGAGGTACTTTGGAAGTTTAAGGCCCAAGTATGATTAAGTATCTATAGCAACGTTGGGGATCCCCTGTTATTTGAAGGAATGCCTTTGCTAGGGGCTGTAATTACTTAATGTGTAGTACAATTATTTGTGAAGACATGCATTTGTATTTGATCATAATTAGGTCCATACACTTATTTATTTGCAACT